TATTTTCCCAAGTTAGATTGGGTGGGTCATGAAATATTTTTTGTAAGATTAGATGGGCTTTGAAACTTTTATCTACATCCTAAGATGGGTCGCCGAACTTATTGGCAAAAAAAAATACCTCCAACCCACCCTAGCAGTTACTTTTTGACCAGTCCCTAACTATAGGCTATATGATTTTCTTTGCCATGCGCTTTGAAATGTGAAGAAAAATCACAACTCTGTGTTAGTATAATGGATCAAATAATTACGGTAATATACCGCCATCTTTTTAATTAAATAAACTTATATTTTAAAATTCTCATTAATAGGACAAAATCTTAGTTTCGAATTTCAAAATTGTTATGATGCATTTGGTTCCGAATCCTATTTCGATTATGTTGTTTCGTGAATAATAAAGTGCATGGGATTAACATCTCGTATAAAGTTCACGTTCATCAGTATTTTTGTAAAAAATTCTATAGTATAATATAATAATATTATAAAATTTATATATAATATAACAATATTATAAAATTTATACACAATTTATATAAAATTTTCGCACATTGAAAACCGAACGAGACTACCTCTCCCTTCATACAAACTGATTCGCAAAACCATTGGCGTTCCAATTGCTTGAGTTTAATTCGCAGTACTCTTAAACTATAATTACATCCAGCCATCCAGGCAACGTACATTGCTTTAAGCTTCTTGTGTTCATATAAATGTTCCGCATTCTGCAGCCCCCGCACACTAGACATACGCTTTTATGCTTTTTAAAGAAGAATAAGCTTAAAAGCTTCCTGTTTTCAACTTTTGAATTCGAGCTCAAAGAACTTTTTGTTGAATGCTTTATTTCCTTACTAATTTACATATCGCTTTCAAATATGGCTTCAGCGGCTTTAAAATAAATTGCACTCGCTGGAAGCAAGACAAAGTCTGCCGAAGTATTTAATGTTATATTGGCTTGGTTTCAGTTTCCAACCATCCTGCTTCCCAACCATTTCCACATTCTGCGATTTATAACATCGAGTATAACATTTCCTATTTACAGTTAAAGCCATATCTTAACACGACATATGTAAATTAAGGAATTAGAATATATTATCAGATCCGTAACACCTATAGCCATGATATAATTATGCTCAAAAACTGTTTACATATGTCTGGACTAACAACAGTTAAACCGTACACTCATGCTGACGTCGACCAGTTCAACAAAACATTACCTCAACTTTAGAGAATAAAATGAAGGAAAAGGCTTCGCACAATAAAAAGTTCGAATTTTGTCGCAGCCTTTTGTCTACAAATAGGAGCGCAATTAACCAATTTTCACATTCTTGTTTTTTCATGTCTTCCACGCTATACGCTGCTTAGTTTTATTCAAATTATGATTATGATGTTTATATGTATGCCAAATGTATATTTTCCTTGTCATTTTACACTGTTGACTCAGACCTGAAGGTTTGTCAGTAAATTGAGAGAAAATAGCGATGGAAAAGAACGGCAAAGAACCTGAAACATGCAAGCATCATTCGTCCTTTCTCGTGAAAGCGCTTTTGCTTGTCTTATGTGCGGTTGTTGTTGTCCAATTTGCTGTGATTGCATGGGATGTCGTGTCCTTGAAAGCTTTGAACAATAAGGTTAACGCTCTGGAAGAAGAAAAGGACTTTAAGTCGTTGGAAAACGAAAATCACGAAAGCAGAACAACACGAAGCAAACGGGGAACAGAGAACACAGATATTAAGAAGGCATTGATAAAACTAGAAAAGCTGGAAGGAAGGTAGGGGGATCTCAGTTTAATGACAAATCAGCTTGTCTAGATAACATGAGAATTTTAGCCAGGTGAGCTTGTTTCTCTAAGGGTTGCTGAATTCTCCGCGACTCAGCGTAATCAAGCTCTATAACAAACGTACTTGCAGGGAGGTGAGTCCGGGATTGGACGCACCGAGGGTGGCTGGAAGTTTCCCGAACTTACCGAGCGAAGCGAGGTGAGTTCGGGAACCTTCCAGCCACCCGAGGTGCGTCCAATCCCGGACTCACCGAACCTGCAAGTACGTTTGGTTTTTATCCCATACACCGAGCCATACACACATTTGTAGCTCTTCCCGATATATTCGTCGATGTTTTGTGAACATTTTCCCGGCCAAAAAATCACTGGGCAAGAAAATACTTCTTTATCTACGTCTACATTACCTTTACTGCATTTTTTCTTTGGTTTTTCTTCAGTCTCAGTATGTTAGTCACCGAAAAAAGTTCTTTAAAGTTTAGATTTATCGGCTAAATCTTGTCCGCCATATTTGTTATTGTTATTGCAACGTAAGCAGTTTAGCGGGTGAGTTCGGGCGAAAAGCAGGTGAGCTCGGCAAAAAGCAGGTGAGCTCGACGACAAGCTCACCTGCTCTAAACCAATCAGAAAGCCGCTTTTAACACAGGTATGGGATAAGAGAGCGACTGTGCTGATTGATAGGCTTAATCGTTTGAAATGATTGGAAGGCATAATGTAACAAAAAGCTGGACTATGTTGGTAAATTGAACATCTTTTGAGATCGACGGTAATGTTAACTACGAGATTATATTGAAAATGTGTTTGATCAACACTGTTTTAATTTAGTTTTGATCTTGCCCTATGTCCTATATTTGCTTCCTATAAAAATTGAAGCCACCTCGGGATAGTCATGATATCATTTCTTGTATTCTTTAATACCTATGAATAAGTAAGGGCATTAATGTATAGTTTTACAATGTGGTTTTATATTAATTTCCTATGTTTAGACTGAATCAGTCGTATCAATATGCTGGTCGTCAACCTGCCTTCCTTCTTCGAGGACCTCCAGGAAAACCAGGAAGAGATGGCACTGCAGGAAGCGCTGGAAGGAATGGGAGGGACGGAAGGGATGGTTCACAGGGAGCCCGAGGTATTTTAATTTCCGATGTATGTAAAACTTGCGCATCAGAGTTGTATAGATTAGAGTTATGTGACTTGGAGTCGCAATTTTTGTGACTTGACTTTGAAAACTAACCGCTTTTCTACAATCTTCACCGGAAATTCATCGATGAGTACTGCAGTGAGTTGTGCAGCGAAACTGTTATTTCACACTATGAGTGAGAGCTTGTAATGCGCAAAATATTAATGTACTAGAAATACACGCATGCATGCAGAAAGTCCTCGCCTATATTTTCCAAACATTAATTTCAATTAACATGAAGTATTTGTCATTGGCCAAAACTGAATCAACTATCAAACATGGCCATGTGTCCGCAATTATTGATAAACCTATTGATAAACTTTTGACTCCGCTAATGCTTTCCTATTCCTGGTACCAGTAAACAGCGGAGGGAATTAGTACCCTCGCTCCAGGCATCCGCCCGGACTCGTGGATAATTGTCATGCGTGACTTCCCAGTTCATGTTAACAACTCTAACTTGCATTGTTAAATGAAGATTATATAATTAAACTAAATACTAGAAATATATTCATGCCTTTCTTAACAGATGAAATATTACCCTGACAGCAGAGCCTTTGCTCTCTGTGTAATGAAGTATTTATGGAAATTCCACATCAAGTACTTGATGATTAAAGACAATAGTGGTTGCCATGGTAACGTTAAAGTAATATTAGAAAATATTAAAAAAGATAATTTTTAACTATAAAAATCTAGAATGTAGTTTTATATTATTTGGCTTTCAATAGGCTAAAATTTAATGTAAAATATAACGGGAAAACGTTCCGAAACTTTACCGCGTGAAGCCGCCAGGGAAACTGAAAAACTATTTGCCGACAGTAGTTTGCCCGAAAATACGGTAAAATATATTTTCTTTATACCTTATTATAGGAAATTAACGATGCACTTTATTAACGCGACATAAATTAACGCGACATCAAATTAACGCGGAATGCTTCTAGGTCTTTTAAAACATGATTATATTAACGCGAATCCGATCTCCATGGATTAAATTAACGCGAATCGGAAAATATAGAGACAACAACAACAAAGGTTTAATGTTAAGAGGAGCACTGATATTTTTAGTTTACGTTAATATGCTGTATTTTGATATTAAAAGAGTTAGTGTTATATAAAACAAATCTAGGTATTTTTAACTAACGATAAATGAAAATTACATACTTAAAAT